GCTGAGGATCAAACCCAGGATCTCACATGTGCTAGGCAAGCACTTTACCACTGAACCACAACCTCAGCCCCAGGATAAAGTTTTAAAATCATAAAATCCAGTTTTTCCCCAAGTCAGTAATAAAAACTTCTGCATTCATAATAATTTATCTTCTTGGTGGAAAAAAATGAAAAGATTTTGGCTTCAGTTATGTATAGCAACCTCAATTATGTCTCAATTATGTCTCACATGTGTGTGCAAGCTTTGGGGCTGTTTGACTAAATATCAAAAAGAGAATTGATGAGAAATAGCAACTTTGTATGTGATCCAGGATAGGAAAGAGAGTAGTCAGAATTTCCTTTTTTATTTTTCCCTTAATGAAAAATATTCTAAATAAAACTTTGCTAATTATCATGTGTTTTATTAATTTCAAGCACTTGATAAATTTTGGCCTTTGCCACTTCTTCACAGATGCAGTGGCTTGCAAGTGTAGCATTACAGGTACTCTTCATTCCATAGCCTGCATAAGGCCTGGGTTCAAGCCCAGGATTTTGAAAAATTCTTTCGATTATACAGGTTTCTTTCTAGTCTTGATATTAACCTAAGTATTAAAGGGTGTACAAAATATGGATAATAATTGTGTTAAGACTGAAAACAGCATTAAAAGTACTACCTCCATATAGACTTCTAGAAGTGATGCTACAGGATCTACCCGAGCCATGCTATCTTTCAAGAAGTATATTATTCTGTCTGCTGCTGCCTGTCTACCCCTTTTTGAATATTCTAGTTTACACAGAGAAGCAGGTGGACCCTGCTGTGGTTTTTTTCAGCAGGGCAGCTCTCCTGGGGTGAAAGGGGGGAATCTGTCCAGTTCTCCTCAGAGCTGCAGGTGTTCTCAGTCAGCTGTGTGTGGGTTGCAGTGTTGTCTCCAGGACTCTCACCTAACAGTATGGCAAAGCATTAATGCGTAGTGGTCAGTGAAGTGTCTAACCATTTAGGTAAAGCATTTCTAAAATGTTTGATTTAATATTGAGATCATCAATTCTCTATTTCTTCTTGTTCAAGTTAAGCATTAAGTAATTGGATATTTTGAATAAATGCAATGTTTTAAGAGGAATACTATTTTGGGAGACTGAATTCTCAGCACATCTACAGAATAAAGCCAATATAAACATTTTTCAAATATATGCTGACCTTTGTGGTTTACAAATAAATGCTTTTGAAAGGTTTCAGCTGCATATACAAATTGATTTAGTTGCAGACTATTTGAATCAGTATCACCAAATCTTTATAATTTTAGGAATGGTACAATGAAGGTAAAGAAGAAATATTTACTTTGCAGTGAGGTATTTGACAAACTAAAACGAATTTATTATTTAGTTGACATTCAGCATTGAATCAATCATACATTACATCCTGTTCCATATAGAGTGTTATGCCTTGAACTTTTCATGATTAATTTAACATAAGTGGAAAAAATTCTTTTGATGCTATTTACTTACTTGTGCTAGAGTTGATTTATTTGGATCATTACACTAATTCTTTTAAAATGAAATTAGAATATCACTGATTCAATAGAAGGAAAAAAATGTAATTGTTTTTTGTGTGCCACACATTCATTATTGCTATAAGGTACAAATATGATTTTCTAAAATAAGCTTTGGAAGCAAAATTAATGCCAATGGAAACAAATTCAGTCAAAGCATTCGTTTATTAATAGTTATAAGTAAACTGAATTTATTATATGCAGTTTTCTAGTGGCTACAGTCAGAACTTCAAAAGCGACTTTCTCTAGGCATACTATTATGTAACCTGCCTGCTGGTGAAAGAGTATGGCACAACTGGTACTCACCCTCGGTGGCAAGAGGAGGTAAAAGACAAAGATACATGTATATAGCCACTTCAATAAGCCTGAGATGAATTTAGGCTTTTGTTTTTGTTTTTGGTGGTAGGGAATGGATCCGGGACCTCATGCCTGCTAGGTAAGTCGTCTTGCCTTTCTTAATAAAGGCAAGCTTTAGAGAAATAATACTATGCCTTTTGGTGAAAACATATATGGTTTAAGAATACATCTGGAATCAATGTCCTGTGATTCCCTTCTCCACTTCATGTTAATGGCAGTCAGCTATAGTGCTATTAATGATCTCTTTTGTTTGGGAAAAAGTAGAATATCTGACAGTCAGCTTTTTCTCCCCCTCTTATTAGCCAGAAACAGAAAATAAGTGTCTCCAACATGGCCTTCTTTTGAGGAGTTCATAATCATATAGAGGAACAGATGAAATATAACTAGGAAGTAATTAATGTGATCAGTATAAAACTGATGTGTATATGAAGTGCTGAAACTATTTACCTATTTTTGACTTTGTCCAAAATTGTTTATCAAAGGAAAATGAACAAGATAGGTGACAGAATCATTATATTGAAAGACACTTTCATTTTTAAGGGTGGACATGCTTCATGCCCCACACCAGATGATAAGCAACATGGCATTTGGAAGATTTAATTCAGGGATCAATAACTTGTTTCATGATCATTCTAAATGAGCATTTTCTCTTGCCACCTGGGCTTTTCAGCTTTTAGTGTGTAAACTATTTTTGGTTTTTGTTTCTGTAATATTATCTCTTGTCAAATATACTGAGTACATGAAACTCTAATAAATCTAAAAAACCTATGTTGCCAATAATATATGTTTACTTATGGATATAGACCGAGAAGAAGGATACCTGGGTCAAATGGTGGTTCCATTCCCAAATTTCCAAGGAAATCTCCATACTGCTTTCCATATTGGCTGCACCGCAGTCCCACCAGCAATGTATGAACATCCTCACCAACACTTATTGTTGTCTTCATAATAGCTGCCATTCTGACTGGAGTGAGATGAAATCTTAGAGTGGTTTTGATTTGCATTTCTCTAATTGCTAGTGATGAACATTTTTTCATATATTTGTTGATTGATTGTATATTCTCTTCTGAGAAGTATCTGTTCAGGTCCTTGCCCCATTTGTTGATTGGGTTATTTGTTTTTTTGGTGCTTAGCTTTTTGAGTTCTTTATATACCCTAGAGATAGTTCTCTATCTGATGTGTGAGGGATAAAAATTTGCTCCCAGGATGTAGACTCTTTGTTCACCTCACAAAGACTTAAAAACAGCATACTACAGGGACATAGCCACATCAATGTTCATAGCAGCAAAATTTACAATAGCTAAACTGGAGCCAACCTAGATGCCCTTCAGTGAATGAATGGATTAAAAAATGTGGCATATATGCACAATGGAATTTTACTCAGCAATAAAAGAGAATGAAATCAATCATGTGCAATCAATGGATAATGTTGGAGAAGATAAGGCTAAGTGAAATTAGCCAATCCCCCCAAAAACAAATGCCAAATGTTTTCTGTGATATAAGGAGGCTGACTCATAGTGGGGTAGGGAGGGAGAGCATGGGAGGAAAAGGGAGGGGGCAGGGATTAGAAAGGATACTAGAATGTGATGGACATCATTACCCAAAGTACATGTGTGATACACAAATTGATGTCAACATACTTTATATACAACCAGAGATATGAAAAGTTGTGCTGTATATGTGTATTAAGAATTGTAATGCATTCTGCTGTCATATATGTTTTAAAAAATCAATAAAAATGTTTAGTCTTTTTTTTCTATTATAATAGAATCAATATACAAAGTCTAAAGCCAGTATTTGTTCATTTTGATGTGAAATTGGTGATCATCCACAAGTTACATGGCTGAGAATAATTTTTTTAAAAAAATGCATGATGATTTACATCTTTTTAAATTGTTGATGAACCTTTAATTTATTTATATGTGGTGCTGAGAACTGAACCCAGTGCCTCGCACATACTAGGCAAGCGCTCCGCCACTGAGCCAACAATCCCAGCCCAGAAATAGTTTTTGATTGGGATGATGAAGCCAGAGCTCCAGAAGAGTGGCTGAAACAAAAATATCCTCCTAACAAGCAATTTTAAAATAGTTTTATTTTGCTAATAAAATATAATACAAATAATCCTTCTTGAAAGACTTCTATTACCTCTCCTTGAAAGTGGTGTCTGGATTTGGATCAGCCACCGTTACTTCTAGTCTATTAAGATACCTGAACATTTTGAAGTAATAGAGGCCACATTAGGTTATGAGTTGATGCTGTTTGGCTGCAAATACTGTATGCACAATAGTAAATATTCATGTTATCTTAAAACTAATTTATATTTGTTTCTGGAATGAATAATAAAAGTATTTGCTTTCTATTAAATTTTATAATGTGGACAATCATTTACTAATTCTTGGTTTTGACCTCATGATTCATGCTTTATTTTTGTAGGCTATTATAAGAACTCCTCACTATGCAGTTCTTCTCAAAGAGTCTGACAGATGTGGGATTTCCTTGGCTAATTACATTCCAGAGGAAGATATAACAATAATTATGGGATATGAGGTACAGCATCTCGAGTTACAAATCTTTTCCCCAGGTCTTATTTATTTACAATGAACTCAAATAGACTGTTAAATGAGAATACTGATAAACATTTTTAATTTTAATTTTTTCTAATTGTAATTGAATAAAATTTCAAACAGATACCTTATTTTAATAGCATTTCTTTTTAAAAAGGAGTTTAGATGACATTAAACAAAATAAGCCAAGTTCAGAAAGACAGATATCATGTTTTCTCTCATATGTGGAAGTGAAACGGAAAAATAGAAAAAAGGGATGTCATAAAAGTAGAAAGGAGACAAGTGGGGTAGAGGAAGAGGATAAGTAGGAGAGAAGAGAGGGGGTATTGGGTAATGAAACTGATCAAATGATATTATTTGCATGTACAAATGATACCTACTTGTTCTGTATCATTAATATGTACCAAAAATTTAAAAAGAAGCTTAGGATATATAGTGGGTCTGTTTCTTAGTTAGAAAAAAAAATCCTTTGTCTTTCGGAAAGTAGCAATTGTAATTTGGAATTTTTGGAAAGCTTTTTTAAAAAGTTAGTTTTATCATAAGACATTCTATTCTGTTAGGATTAGGTTTAGGAAAGGTTTTTTTTTTTTTCCAGTAGGCTTTTGTTGTTTAGGTTCCTTGCATAATTCATTGTGAAACTCCAGTTCATGCTTGTGTCAGAAATTAACCTTATTAAATTACAACTAAATTTGAGACCTTTAATCTAGGTGTACAGGATGCCATAGATAAAACCAGTCTAATTTCTGAAGGATTTCTTTCCGTAGCCACTCTATTGAAGTGCAAGATTACATTCTGCAGATTTTTTTTGAAGCAACAATCTTTATTCTTTTAATTTAAACAAGTGCTTGCTAACTAAAAAAAAAAAAATTTGCCTTAGGTATTTCATGCTCAATTGATAATCTTCTTTAACAAATATGATGGAACCCAATATATTATGAAGCCCATGGCTAAGAACAATCTGCCCACATGATTAAATTTTACTTGTTTCAGGGCTACTTAAGAAAAGCAAGGAGTGATGAACACTACATCCTGGAATATGTTGTTGGAAAGAAATATTGATATAAAGGAAAAATTCTATGTCCTAGATGTATGGAAAAATTCTATGTACTAGGTGAATGGAAAGCATATGGTGTAACAGACTTGTGATATGATTGCTTATAAACAATATATAATTCGATAGCAATGGTTTGTACTTGTTAAATAGCTTAAGGATCATTATATATCAGTGTATGACCCTGCTTTGTTTAAATAGGTAGGCAATACCTTTTTATGGCTCTCAAGTATTTCAAATGTGGCAATGTAACCAAGGAAGTGCATTTTAAATTTTTAAATTTTAATTTCAAAATTGATACTTGATCTAGTTACTGGATAACTTAAACATGTTTGGAACAACTGGATATGTGAATCAATTCTTCCAACTTCTCAGTATAGGAATTTAATACAGATCAAGTATTTATGATAAAAATTTAGCATATGAATTGAGATGTGCTGTAACATAAGATATACTGGATTTTAAGACAGTACAAAAAAGAATATAAGTATATTGTTAATAATTTTAAAAATATTTATTATATACCAAAATGATAATACTCTGGATATAATGACTTAAATAAAATACATTATTTAAAATTACTTTTAACTGTTTTTTTACTTTTATAATACACCTACTAGGAAATTTTGCTTTACACATGTAGCTTGTATCACACAGGTGCTAGTATCATCTAACAAGCACTGTAGAAGAGAGTCTAATTCATACATTATGTCAATTTGGGGCATCAATATTTTCCTAGTATACCTTATTGTCCTTTTATTCAAAAGTATTGTTTATCATTCTTTTTGTTAATGTTGTGAAGTTATTGGTCTGCATCTTCATAAAATGGTCTGGATCTAGTAAGAAAATTATCAGATACGTTGAGAAAGAGAGTCTTCTATGAATTTCCTCTTCCCTACATTTCTTGCTAGGTGTGACTACTCTTTACCTGAGCTATTTCTAAGGACTGAGTTTACAGTGAGCATCTTTGAAGGAAGAGGCAATGCCTTCTAGGATAAAGAGGTTTGCTTTTGTTCATAATAAAAAGCAGTGAATTTTTCAAGCTCTGTAGTCCTCAGGTATAAGAAACCTGCTGAATGTGTAGTTATGTTTACAGCCATATTGTGCTTCCCTATGTAACGTGGGACAACCGGAGCCAATGACAATATGCTGATGTTCATGCTCCTTTGTTTCTGTTCCTGGAGTCTCATGTATTCTGTCAGCATCTAAGAAACTGTAACAGGCTAAATTACTAGTTTGTAAATAACCAAACTCATGAATTTAGAAAATTATTAGGTCTGATGGGATGGTAAGATTTCCTTTTATATGTAAAAATTTTAAGTTGTGGAAGCCTAGTTTTTATATAAAATGTGGTGTCATATAAGAACATGGATGAAATAAAAGTGTCAGTTTTTTTCCTATATTGTAAATATCGTGCATGCACTTGTATGAATTGTTGGTATACAGAAGTGTGCATATATTACATTTATTTCCCAAGAACATTTCTCAGTTCTTGAAAACAAAAGGTAAACATTCTGTGGAACTATATTCAAGGACTTAAAAATCTTATAAAGAAACAGTTTATCTATTATCCAACATATGTACTCAGGACAAAAGGAAACTTTATAAAAAGTACAAAAATAGATAAAAAAAATACAAATACAACATATTTTGTTTGGAACTTTAGAGATGTTTTTTTTTCTTCTCTTTCCCTTTTACCTCAAAAGTTATAAGTACTTTTGAAGCAGCATGTATTGTTGCACTTTTGATTTTTTGTTGTATAGTTAATGAACTTGAGGATGACTGATGATTATCTGGTTGGCCATCCCATTCTTTTGTTTCTTCTTCTTTGATTAGTAAAGGTTTTCCTAGGGTTTGGCCAACAAGGTTACAGACTTCTTGAGCTTTGCGCCATGCATTCTCAACAGCAACAAGACAGGCGTGCCGTCTGAGGAATTAAATGCAAAGATTATTAATATGGCATTCACTGAATAGTTTTGTTTAAGCAATTAATAATTTAGTTAATAATAATAATGAAAATGTGCTTAAACTTACCGAAGATTCTCAACAGAGCCTGGAGTATGATAGAATTGGGGTGGACTGATGACAACAGAACTATCTAGCTTTTCAACGAGGAAATTACAAATATTTTGCATCTTTCCAAATTCAGTAAATGTAATGCAAACCTGTAAATGAAATGACACTTGGTATTATTTTCATGTCTGATGTGCTGTTTCAAATTTATTTTTTTAAATATGAGTAAATAAAGTAAACTTAGAATATAAGGTCCTTTTATATTATATAACAGAAAAGAAAGACTATTTGATGGGGCTGGGGATGTGGCTCAAGCGGTAGCGCGTTCGCCTGGCATGCGTGCGGCCCGGGCTCGATCCTCAGCACCACATACCAACAAAGATGTTGTGTTTGCCGAGAACTAAAAAATAAATAATAAAAATTCTCTCTCTCTCTCTCTCTCACACTGTCACTCTCTCTTAAAAAAAAAAAAGAAAGACTATTTGACACTTAAATTATTTTGCTATTAAAAGACTCTTGCTTATGAATTTTGAAATTTATCTATATTGAACTGAATATTTAAAATTCATTTATTCAATTTGAATTTCTATGAAATTGGAGGATTTCCCCTTCAGTTTTATTTTTTGGCTAATTTCTAATCCTGATAACTTTTTCTTTTTCTTTAATCTAATCTATGCCATTAGATACTGATAAGCAGCAATTACATCATACTTCACTGCTGCCACTAGTCATTTTCACATCTATTTGCAGAAGCTAATCTATTTGACTATGTTCTGCATTGTATAAGTTGAGGTCATCTCATACATTCTTTGTCTTTACTACTACTACTCTATTAATCATACTATGATCTATGTGGACATCTTCTAATATCATAGTTTATTTTTTTAGCTTTATAATTTCAAATATATATAATAGCAGAGTTAAGAATTTGAAGAATTCCCAGACATCAATTACCTAACTTCAAAAATGATCACATCATGGCACCATTTATGTATTTATTTATTTTAAATACACTATATATATTTTTAGTGTAAAGTTCTATGACTTTTGATAAATATGTAGAGCTCTGTAACTACAATAATAGACTTGTTTCCCTAAATTCCCTCAAAGAACCCGTTTATTAAATCAATCCCTACCCCTGGCAACCATTGGTATATTGTTCTCTTGTTATACATTGAACTTTTTCTGAATGTCATATAAATGAAAGCATACAATATGCACTTTTTTGAGACTCACTTCTTCCACTTGGCACAATGCATCTGTGATTCATCCCTATTCTGGCATAATAGTGGGTTAATTTTTTTTTTAAATTTTTAACATTTATTTATTTTTTCTTAGTTCTCCGCGGACACAACATCTTTGTTGGTATGTGGTGCTGCTGAGGATCGAACCTGGGCTGCACGCATGCTCGACGAGCCCGCTACCGCTTGAGCCACATCCCCAGCCCCGTGGGTTAATTTTTTATAATTTTTTTTTAGTTGTAGATGTCAATAGTCGGTTAATTTTATATTCTGTTATATGAATATAAACATAGTTTTTTTGAAAACACTTTAGTTGTGTCCAATTTTTGGCTATTATAAATAAAGATGCTGCTTTGTCAAAGTGTTCTAGATCCTTTGAATTTCTACATATATTTTATAGTCAGTTTGTCAATTTCTATTGGAAAAAAAAGCCTAGCTGGGATTTTTTTTTTTTTTTTTAAACTGGTAGTTGAACCCAAAGACAATTTACCTCTGAACCACATTCCCAGTCCTTTTTATTTGAGAGAGGGTCTCACTAAGTTGCTTAGGACCTCACTAAGTTGCTGAGGCTGGCCTGAAACTTGCAATCCTCCTGCCTCAATCTCCTGAGTCATTGGGATTATAGGCAAGCACCAAGGTGCCTGGCTGCTAGCTGGAATTTTGATTAGAATTGTAATGAATCTATATATAAATCACTTTTGGGAGAACTGATATCTTAATAATATTGAGTCTTTTAAGTAATAAACATGGTTTCTCCATTTACTTCTCCTTGCAGTTCTATCATTTTTGTCTCAAGTATTTTGAAGCTTTGATCTAAGTATTTAGGATTGCATGTCCTCTTGATTAACTCTTTTTTAGTATTATGAAATTATTTTCTTTATTTGTGGTAATATTCTCTCCTTTGAAATCTACTTTGTCTAATATCATTTAGTCACTCTACCTTTCTTTTGATTCGTGATAGCATGGTCTTTCCTCATCTTTTAACCAATGTGCCTTCATATTTAAAGTATGCTTCTCTCAGACAGAATATAGAGAGAGTTCACTTTTTTATATAATTTGAAACACTTGCCTTTGAATGAAGGTATTTGGGCCATTTACATTTAATATGATTGTTGATATGGTTAAATTTAAACCTCTGATCTTACTATTTATTTTTGATTTGTCTCTGTTCCTCTTTTTCTCAATTTGTTTTCTTTTGAATTGAGTATATTTTTTATTAAATTATTTATTCTAATTTGTTATACATGATGGCAGAATGCAATTCATTCCATATTACAAATATAGAAAACAATTTTTCAAGTCACTGATTGTACACAAAGTATTTTCACACCACTCATGTCTTCATACATGTACTTAGGGTAATGATGTCTAACTCATTCCACCATTGTTCCTACCCCTTTGCCCACTCCATTACCCACCCCCTGGTTTGCCCTTTCTAAAGTTCCTCCATTCCTCCCATGCTCCCCACCAATGCCACTGAGTCAGCATTTTCATATAAAAGAAAACATTTGACCTTTGGTTTTCTGGGATTGGCTAACTTCACTTAGCATTATATTCTCCAACTCCTGGATTGAGTATATTTTTATTATTCTATTTTATATTCTTCATTGGCTTATTAATGATAGTCCTTTTTGCTATTTTAATGTTTGTTTTAGGGTTTACAGGATACATGTTTAACTTATCAAAATCTTCCAAGAAATGTACCATTTTTATATATAAGAACTTCACAATACTTATATTTTTTAAAGATTTATGTAATAAAAATATCATATATTAACCATATAGTTAACATTTTCAGTACTCTTCAGTCCTTTATGTAGATTCCTGTTTCCTTCTGTCTAAATGATATCATTTAACATTTCTCATAGTGCGCGTATATAGGTAATGAATTATTTCAGCTTACTTAAACACTCTTTAATTGGCCTTTGTTTTTGAATAGTATTTTTGCTGGATATAGAATTCTAGGTTTATAGTTGATTTTCCCTCTTAGTTTGTTAAATATGTTAATTCTACTGCTTCTTCCCTTGCATTGTTTTCAAGGAGAAATCTGTTGCCTTTGTTACTTGGTATATAATGAATATTTTTCCCTCTGGCTATTTTATTACTAACTGGTTTTAAGCAATATGATTATAATGTGCACTTGTATATTTTTGTATTTGTTGTGGTTAGGGTTGATTAAACTTTTTGAATCTGTGGTTTTACAATTCCCCTTAGGTTTGGAAAGTTTTTGGTTCTTATTTCTCCAGATGTATCCTTGTCCTCCATTCTCTCCTCCACTGGGACTTAAAATTAAATATATATTAGGTCACTTGCAAGTTGTCCCTCAATCCATTGATTCTTTTTTGTCTTACTGTGTTTTGTTCTAGATGTTCTTATTGCAGTGTCTTCAAATTCACTAAGCTTGGCTGTGTAATGTCAACTTTGATATTAGTCCTATATTTCTTTTTTTCACACTATAGTTTTCATCTCTGGAAGTTTAAGACTTTTACCTCTCTCCTCTCCCTTACTTAATTTTTGAGTGTATATAAAACAGTCCTAATAACTTTTTAAAAATATTCTTTTTAATTGTTGATGAACCTTTCTATTTATTTATTTATTTATTTATATGTGGTGCAGAGAATCAAACCCAGTACCTCATACATGCCAGCAAATGCTCTACCGCTGAGCCACAACCCTAGCCCTCTAATATCTTTCAATGACATTGCCAATTAATTTTAACATCTGTATCAGTTCTGCAGTGGTTTGACTTTATTTTTCTCTTTATTATAAACTTTATTTCTCTGCTATTTTGCAGGCTAAGAAATAGAGGCAAATATAAAATCCCAGTTCATTTTGAATCAGTAAATAAAAAAATAAGATGGAAAAAATATGATTTATTGGGAGAAATATGATTCAAAAAGCAGCATGTGAGAAAGACTGTTAATTACCGACCAAGGCTATAAGCTAAATAGAACAAAGTGATGCAAATGCCCAAAAGCTAATTCAGTCTATGTGTGTTACTAGGAAAAAATATTCTAGAGTGAGGATATTAATCATCTTCCTCTAACATGAATAGTCAAATCACAGCAGGACACTATAGATGTAGATCCTTTAGGAGGAAATTGATTAACTCAGGAAAGAGTTTGTCATATAAGAAACCACCAAAGAAAGCGAGGATCTTTACCCCTAGAGAAGACAAATGTAGCATCAATATGATAGTGAGCTTCAGCTATATATTTCAAGAAAATAATTAGCTTTTTTTTTTCTTCTGGAAGAGATACTCTAACAGTAGACAGGTACAGTAAGTCAATTTTGGTATAAGGTTAGAAAATGTTGTTTAGTAGATGTCTGAAATGCAATGGGTCTTATTTATAAAATATTTCAAAAGAAAAATGAATAGTTAAAACAAAGATTGGATAAGATATGGATGGAAAATGCTCAACATATGATGTTACTGGAGTCCTAGGCTAGGGTCCTGACTCCAGTGGTCCCAAAAAGACCATGTTTGGCCACTTGTCCCAAATACCAAAGAGAAAAGGTACATGAAAAACAGGAAAGGATACTTTAATCAATAAGGCCATGCTGGGAAGGCAAAGTGAGATCCAGCTTCTCAGTCCTATCTTCAGAGCACACATGAGTATAGGTTTAAACAGAGGATGGAATGAGGTAGGGGACCAGATGTCTGCATAATTAAGCAGATTTGATTAAACTGTGGTTTAGTTGTTCATTCTCTGAGTTCTGTTTCTATTAGGTAGTGCAAGAGATGTCTACCACTAGAGAGGGCAATTTCCTCTTATTGCTCAGGAAATTTATCCACCAGACCTGTAATCCTAGAAAGGGGTAAAGAGGGCACACTTCAGTTTGCATGAGATGGATGACAGTTCCTGCTGGGGGAAGGGGGCAGTCTCATTATGGGATGTTATGGTTTAGCTATGAGGTGTCCCCCAAAAGCTCATGTATAAGATAATAAAAGAACGTTCAGAGGTAAAATGATTGGGCTATGAAAACCTTAATCTAATCAGTAGGTTAATTCACTTGAATGGATTAACTAGGTGGTAACTGTAGATAGATAGGGTGTGGCTGGAGGAGATAGGTCCCTGGGGGTGTGCCTTTGCGGCTTATATTTTGTCTTTGTTGAGCAGGTATCTTCTTGGTGTCCTGAGCTGCCTTGCTCCACTACACTCTCTGCCAGGATCTTTTGCCTCACCTTGGGCCCAGAGCATTGGAGTCTGCTATCTATAGACTGAGACTTCTGAAATGGTGAATGCCTAATAAACTTTTCCTCTAAAATTGTTTGTCATGTTTTTTGATCACAGTGGTGAAAAAGCTAACTAAAACATGGAATAATTTCCAGGAAGGTTTAGGACAAGCTTGAAGACTTATAGGTGCCACCCCAGAGGTCTGAAATAAGAGATGCTGTAAATGTTGTCTCTTGTCTTCAAGACAAACAGATAAGTATGGTAAATTTAGGGCTAATAAACCTGTATTACTAGAAGGTTTTATTGATTTGTTCTTTTTAGATATATATAACAATAGAGTATATTTGACATATTATACATACATGAGTATAACTTATTCTAATTAGGATTCTATTCTTACGGTTATACATGATGTGAAGTTTTTCGATAAACACTCCTTAGAAGATTAATATACCAATGTGCAGAACTAAGCAGGAACACAATCCAAAGTTTAAAGTAATAAAGGAAACAAGTATAAAATAAAGGCAGAGATGCTAAGCTTTCTCTTGCTTTCAGTTACCCATGACAGCAGCTGCAGATCTAGGTAAAGAGTCACTGCTTTTAGCAAAGGCAGCCTCTCTAAGTCCCAGTTATAATGGGAGGCATTCAGGAAAAATAAGTGGGAACAGGGAGGGGGAAATTCTTATGAGTGCTACACTACTTTTTCTTTTGATATACATTAGTGAATGCCTCTAATATTTCAGGCTTTAAAATCTCTCTTGACACTGAGATTATTATAAGAAAGAACAAAAGAAGTGACAAGTGTACCAATATAGGAATCTCAAAGCCCGGTTTTTAATCCAACTTCCACTTCCCACACATATTCACTCATCTACATTTAATGAAGTCATTTAGAAACTTTCTAACCTTCAACATGTTTATTCTTAAACCAAAGGGGAACAGCCAAGTGGTGGGAGGTTAGCTAAAACATCTTTAAAATGCCTTTCAGAATGAAAATTTCAGATATTATGTGGAAAAGTAATGTCCATTAATCTGTTTAAAATTTATTTACAGCTTTATTAAAGTATAATGGACAAACCAAAAAACTGCACACATTTTACATATACAATTTGTTGAATTTTATAGTAACCTGTGTTACCATTACCACAAGCAACATAATGAAGACCATAAACCTATTTATCACTTTGCAATGTTTTCCTGTAGTATTTGCTGTTTTGTTTTTCTTTCTGTGGTAAGAATATTAAAACATGAAATCTACCCTCTTAAATTCGTAAGTGCATAATACCAAAGTAATTATAGCTACTATGTTGTAGAGTAGATATCTAGAACTTATTCATCCTATATAACTGTAACTTTATGCCTGCTGAACAAGATCTCCTATTCCACACACACCCTCTTCACACTCTATTTTCTGCTCCTGTAAATTTGGATATTTTAGATAATATCTACTACTGGTGCTAATCTAAGAACAATCATGTATTGGATTGTTTAATATAATGTGAGTTCTGGTTTTCAGAGAGCTCTATATAAAATGTAATCAGATATTCTCTTAAGAAAATTGAATATAATACATTAAAAAGGCAAGTTAAAGCAGAAGGAAAAGGAGGAGAGTTTAGTTAAGTCATCATTTAGTTATTTCTTAAAACAAGCAGTTCTAATGTACTCTTTGTATCTGAAAGTTCAATCTCTACAAAACTCTGTGGTCTGGAAAATATGCCAGTTTTTCATGAAATATGGGACTATTTTTTTTCTCCTCTTTTCTCCTTGATATACCCTCACAATAAACCTCTTTAACTAAGATAACTTGCTCCTCTGTGTTACAATCTGAAGCTCTAACAGGTAGTATCTACTATTGAATTGCTATAGCATACTCCCAACTTTCAACCTCTGTAATTTAGACTGTTCTTCATTTTGTTTTGAAAGATATTTTTTTAGTCCCCACTAGTATACTTTTGACAAATGGATCACTAAAATCATAATAAGTAATTTTAAATTTCCTTGAAATAGTTACATTAAAATGGTGAAATCACAAAACTGTTAACAGGAGATAACAAACAGAATATTGTTTACTATCTCAAGAGATAAGAAGACAGGATTCCAGTTTTTCACTCTAATTCTTATTATATGCCCTTTAAGAAGTCTAGATCTAAGTGATATAAACCTAATAGAAAAATTAGAGAAAAAATAATCTATCTCTGCCTGAAGATAGGACCAGGTGATACCTTGAGGTATTTCCTACTTCTAAAAACAAATATTCTAACCTCACTGTTCTTTTTCTCCTGTGACAAGGAGGTAACATGGATTAAGCACATACCCCAAACATGTGGTTTCAGAAACGTATTCTGATTCCATAAAAAATATCCTAATCATCACACTTTAAAGGAAAGTAAAAAGCTGAGGCAGTTTAGGCTCTAAATAATGTTATCATCAATTAAATATACTTAAATGATTCCCTCTTTGTGTGTGTGTTGTGTGGTGCTGGACACAGGCAAGTGCTCAACCACTGAGCTATATCCCTAGCCCCTTCTTTTTAATTTGTGTAAAGGAAAAGCAGTTTTTATTTCCAAATAATACTTATTAAAACACAGTTAAGTTGCATTGTGGAATAAAAGAATGTTAAAATGTGTTTCAATCCTTTATGACTTTTTTCATTTATTCTTTTTAAATTTTACTTGTTCTTTTTAGTTATACACGACAGTAGAGTATATTTTAAGATATTTATACAAACATGAAGTATGTCTTATTCTAATTAGATCCCAGTCTTGTAGATGTATCTGATGTGGGGATTCACTATGATGTATTCATATATTTACATAGGAAATTCATGTTAGATTCATTCCCTTGTCTTTCTTATTCCTAGACCCTCCCTTTTCCTTCATTCCCCTTTATCTAATCCACTGAATTTCTATTCTTCCCCTCCCTATTCATTTACTCTTTATCTAAGAGAAATTTCTTTCCTGTAGTATTTCCTGCTCACCAGGCAATAATTTTACTAAAAGTTTATTCAGGTGGTATTTAACTGCTATTTCCCTGTTGCTATTTTTATTGCATTTTAAATAACTTCTCTTAAATCTCATTAAATATATTTAAAAGATCATCTATATAACATCAAAAATTATTTTGAGAAAAATAATCTTTTATCAAAACTACGAGAAGCATGTCTCTGGTATATTTTTTTGCAAGAAAAAAACTAAATGACAAGTTGTCTTCACAAAATCATGCTGTTTCCAGTTATTTGCTAAGTACATACTTCTGCTTCCATGTGATAAGCATTTTCCACTCTTCTAAAATCCTTTGTCACAGTTACATTTTCTTCCTGAAACAGAAAGTACAAGAGGATGATTACTAAGTGTGTGGCTATTAAATATAATTGCTCTAAGGCATAAACCAGAAACCTGAACTTATGAAAATCAGGAAGACATAAGAATAAAAAAAAAACACAAAAAACCATGTATTGCCTGATATTTTAAAACTGTCCTAAAAGTGACACAAAATAAATTAAGAAACCTACAAATATTTGCTTAAAATTTTGATCATAATTATATATTTGTAGAATATAAAGAAAGTATGAACTTAGGGCAGCATAATATGAGGAACTGTTTGTACACACTACATAACATATTTAAAAGTCAGAGGAGTCTCAATATTTTTAAAATTTACTTATAAATAATACACAGAAAATTTATAAGTAACATAAACTTACTGAATACCTATTATTTGTACGTTTTGGCCAAGTTACCAATTTTTTTTTTTTTTTACTCTGGGGATTTAACTTAGGGGCACTTGACCACTAAAGTCACATTCCCAGCCCTATTGTGAATTTTATTTAGAGACAAGGTTTCACTGAGTTACTTAGAGCCTCACTTTTGCTGAGGCTGGCTTTGGACTCTCTCGATCCTTCTGCCTCCCTCTCTTGAGCCTCTGGTATTTCAGGAGTGCACTATAGCGCCCAGCAATTTACTCAATTTTTTTGAGCCTTAGTTTCTAAATTTATAAAATCAGGTTAATATCTAGTTTAGTTTAAAAAGGCTGAGACAAATATTTTCTCTGATATAAGGAAGGTAACTCAAAATGGGGTAGGGAGGAAGAGCATGAGAAGAAAATTACCTCTAGATAGGGAAGAGAGGTGGGAGGGCAAAGGAGGGAGAAGGGGAATTGCATAGAAGAGGGAAGGAGACCCCCTACGCTATACAGAATTCGGGTATGATGATGTGAGAAAAAAAAAGAAGTGGGTCACATTAGATTGGGTAGAGAGAAGTGATGGGAGGGGAGGGGAGGGGTAGGGGGTAATGGAAGAACAGCAGAATAAAATAGACATTATTATTGCTGTGGGTATATACGTTGACTGCATGACCAATGTAATTCTGCAACCTGTACAGTCAGAAAAATTAGAAATTATATCCCATCTGATTCAAATGTATGATATGTCAAGATCATTGTACTGTCATGTGTAACTAATTAAAACAAATAAAAAATAAAAAATTTCAAACAACAAAAACACACACACACAAATAAAAAGACTGAGAACAGAAGGTAGAATATATTTTATGTATATCACATAAAATTGCTATGAAAATTTAAGCTGTATGTAAAGTACTTGACAAAAAGCCACTCAGCAAAGTAGATGTTATACTATTATGATAAAAATGTTTCTGAAGCTGAAGCAGAAGGATCATAAGTTTCAAGGCCAGTCGCAGCAACTTGGCAAGGTTCTCAGCAATGTGATAAGAATCTGTCTCAAAATGAAAAATATAAAGGGCTGGAGATACAGCTCAGTAGTAATGCACCTTGGGTTTGATCCCCAATACCAAAACAAACAAACAAACAAACAAACAAACAACAACAACAAAACATTATCCTAAAAAAAGGGAAAAATTATGCCCAATGTGATTCAGATCATTAAGGCCATACTCAGTTTCAATAGGTCAGATAAACTCCTCCTAAAGCCTTGGAGGCAGGATCACTATTCAGAGCCACCAGGAGAAGGACCCGCCCCCCCAACCCCTTGTAGAACTGTGGGGGTGACACTTCTACTCTAAGGTCCTAGAGGACAGATTATGGAACTAAAGAAAATCATTCTCAAGCCTTAAGGTCTAATGGAATTTGCCTTGCTAGGTTTTGCAGTTCCTTGGAAACTCTCACCCTTTCCATTTTTCTTATTTCTCCCTTTTGGAGTATAAGGAATGTTTTTTCATATTCCCATCTCACCATTGTATTTTGGAAGTACATTACTTGTCTAGATTCACAAGTGATTTAGATGACCACTTCAGAGTTAATACTGGAATAAGTTAGACTCTGGAGATCATTGGAACAGTATGAATGTATTTTGCATGTGATAAGGTTATGAATTTGGTGGTGAGTGCAAGGGACAGGGATGGAAAGGTTTGAATCAAATTGTCTTCTCAAAATTCTTATGTTGAAGCTATTACCCTCAATATGATGTTAACTGGAGATGGGGCCTTTGGGAATTAATTAGGTCAGGAAGGTGGAGTACTAGTCTTATGATATTAATTCCATGAGACTGAGACTCAAGGGAACTTGATCTCTCAGGCACCAGGAAAGACCCCCTTCACCAGAATCTGACCATGCTAGCATTCTTATTTCAGACTTCCAGCCTCCAAAACAGAAAACAAATTCCTGATGTTTACGCCAATTAAAATTTTTTTTTTCTAAAACAGTGAACTTGGGCCTGTTTATTTTTAAAAAAGTAATATTAAAACTTTTTTTGATTCTCTAGGTTAATACTGGTACATAATTCTAGTAAAAAAGTTAAATTTATTATTTAGTTTTCAAAAAAGTTTTAAAATTCATCCTTGGGAACAAGTATAACATTTTATAAAATTCTTTGTATTTTTCAAAATATATGTTAAATAAATATATAATAATTATTATGTCAAATAATAATTGCAAGTTGTAAGGAAGATGGCTGTATCTAAAGTTTAAAATATAAACTAAGTATAAGCAATTGATATTACCCAGAAAAATTCTAAAAGCTTTAATCTGGTATATGAACTGAAGTTCCAATTGTAGCTCTGTTATCTGTCACTCCCATGAAAATATTAATGTGAATTTTTAAAATTAAAATAGTAATACCTGTTCATTATTGAAAATTTAGAACAAAGATAAGTATGAAAAAGAACTGTGTGTATACACATATATGGCTTATAATCAGTTTTTTCACTGATGTTAACAAGTTATTTTTCTGTCATTTAATATTCTTTTATGATATGTGAATATACTTTTGGTCCACCTTTGATATCACTTTTTTCATTTTTTCTCTACTTCATAAATATAAAACTTCTGATTAAAAATTTATTATAGAAACACTTTTAGGAAAGAAAGCTGGAAAGAAAATCTTATTTTTAATAAGATTAAAAAATATAATCTTATTTAATCTTAAATTTAATCTTAAAAATTTAAAGTTATTAAGATTAAAAAATATAAACATGTTAATTAAAGAAAATCTAATACTAGAGAAAAAGACAAAAAGTAATATCCCCAAACCCTATTACTATTAATATTTTAGTAAAAATTTTACTAAACCATCTATCAGTGCATATAAATATATCTAGATCAATGTCTATATTTTACTGTTTGTTTGTTTTGTGGTACTGGGGATTTAACCCAGGGAGCTTAACCACTGAGCCACATCCCCAGCCCTATTTTTTAATTTTGAGACAGGGTTGGACTTGTTTGCATAGGGCCTCTTTAATTTTCTGAGGCTGGCCTTGAACTGGAGATCTTCCTGTCTCAATCTCCCAAACTACAGGGATTATGGGTGTGTACCACCAAGCCTGGCTAGACTTTTTCATAAATATATCCTACATTCTGTTCTCAGCCTTTTTAAAATAGACTTTTTCGTTGGGATAATATTAAATTTAAAGAAAAGGCTGAGGTAGGAGGATCACAGGTTGAGACCAGCTTTAGCATGTTAGTGAGGCCCCAAGCAATTTAGCCAGATCCCAAATAAAATAAAAAGCGCTAGGAACATGGCTGACCTGAGTGGTTAAACATCCCTGGGTTCAACACTCAGTAGCAAAAAAGAAGGGGGAAAAAAAGTTGCTAAGCTGGTATAGAATGTCATATACATCAGTTTCAGACTTCTCTGATCTTATTATCTTAAATTATTTTGACAGCCAGGCACAGTGGTGCGCACCTATAATTCCAGCAATGTGGGAGGCTGAGGTAGGAGGATTGCAAGTTTGGGGCCAGCCTCAGCAAACTTTCGAGAGCCTGTCTCAATAAAAAAGAACTGGGGATGTGGCTCAATGGTAAAGCACTCCTGGGTTCAATTCCCAGTACTAAAAGAAAAAAAAAGTTATTGTAATGGATTTGGCCAACATTGGTGCATTACCATTAACTAAGGCCCAAACTTTATTTAGATTTCATAAGTAGTGTCCTTTCTACTATTCCAGGATCAAATCCATGATACTATATTACATTAATTCATCTCTTTTGATCTGTAACAGTTTCTCAGTCTTCCCATTTTCATGATCTTGAAAGTTTTAGTCATATATTTTACAAACCTTAATTTGGTTTGTTTTGCATTTTTTTTGTGGTTAGACTGAGATTATCTTAGGAAAGAATATGATAGAAGTAAAATGCCTTTTTCATTACAACATATCTACATTACTCATGATGTTAATCTTGGTCACTTGGTTAAGGAAGTATTGCCAGGTTCCTTCACTATAAAGTTACTATTTTTTTCTTTCTATACTTTATTAATTAGAGGCAAGACATTAAGTGCACTCCATACTCACTCAATACAGACTTTAGGATTGAAGTTGGAACCTATAGACCTTTGACATAAATCTACCCTTTATTTTTTGAGCACTTCTTTTTACTTTCTGGTACAGTATGTCAGGCTCATGTACTTTTCCTGCTCCAGCTCTAAACCTATTTCTTCAAGAAGCATAGTACCTTCTGAGATTGGAATTTAGGACCAAGATCTTAATGCTACAACTGTTTACTACCACTTAAGAGTTATTCCTTCTAGGCCCTCTTTAGTGGAAGAGCTAGATGATGTATCCTAATGCATACATACATACATATCTAGGATTGTTTCTATATCTTTCCATTTTTAGGAACGTAAACATGGGTTCCTGCTGATTTTTTCAGCTCTAAGTCAGAATCAAAGAGGTCATTATAACTCTCCTATCTTTAATAGTGAGAAACCTGGTCCTCACCATCCACCATCCACTTATTTATTCAATGCTAGTATACATGTAAAGCAGATTCAGAATTGTTAATGTACACCCCCTTGGAAAACAAATTTACCAACTAGAGTATAGGGTTTATGTGCCTTTCATTTTTATC